GTGCTTTCAGCACTTCCTCATGCATGAAGTCACACTAAGTCTGCGGAGAAGCTCTCCCCCATTGTCTCCACTTAGTTTCATTCAGCGCACATGAACGTGGTGTACACGTGCATCAGCAGTCTGGCAGCGCACTGGAAGTTCACACATAACACAACTTGTTCATTTAACTTCCAGTGTGTCATCACAACAGCTGCTCCATGTGTTTGTTCTGCAGCCTAATGTGTACATTCTGTATTGTGGAAGTGATTTGTGATCGGCATTGCAAAGGAAATTTAACAGCTGGTCCTTGATGGAACATGTGGAGAGCTAAATTGTCCTCCAGAGCATAATAGTTTTTTGTTTTTTTTAGCTGTGTATTAATCTTTAGAAACACAAGTAGCAAAATGTTCACCGAAAGATATTGATCAAACACAAAGCTAGGGTTGATAATGTATTTTAGAAACTTTTTTTTGTTATATTTGTTGAAATTCGCTTTATATCCCAACAGCAATAAATCAATCAAATGCTCTGACAAAAGAAAAGGAACAATTTGGTATCTGTGGCTGTTGCAGGGCTGTTATAAGCCTACCTGTGTGCACTCATTGTGCGTTACCTCAGTCTCCCACAAGCTGCTAGCTTTAAAGCTGTGAGTACTAACAATAGCCATGTTAGGCTTTAATGGTCATTTTGGAGGCTCTAGTTTGTCGTAGTTTTGACTTTATTTGCATCGGGATGTCTTTCAATATTTAGTCTCATTAATGCAGATGGTATGGCAATCGTTTTAGCAAAGCTTTCCTAATCAATTCGCAACTGACTGTATGTACCACTGGAATGTACATAGTACTTAAACATTCACTACCTGTGGGCTTCAATGGTAGCACCAACGAGTATGTTTACTAAAATGACTCAATTTCACTGTGAAAAACCATCAACCACTGTTGCATTATAATCCACATGTGTACTCAATGTATTGTGCTCAATCTGTGTCAAATTGCTAATCACAAAAATATGTCTGAAAGAACAATCTCTGTTTGTAGCTAGCACTGTAAGCTGCTCGTGACAAAAGAAAAACTTCAACTCAATCTCAAAGAATTCAGCAAAACTAACTCCAAGGAGATGCATGCAAACTAGTTTTGAGCAGGAAAAGCAGTTTTTGCACTCAATACATCAGGGTGTCATTTAAGATTCAAAATCTTACTGTTGTTGCCTGTTGGTGGTCTTTTTGTTTCGGCATACTCTGTGGGTGTGACAGTGAGGTATCAGGGACCTCTTCTGATTTATTTGTGATTTTCTCTTTGGCAACAATGCATTGGGATAACAGCATCCCCCAAAGAGAGGATGATCCCCATCCTGCTTTTTCATCTTCGCAGATGGAGGTGAACATTGAAAGGAGCACACTGAGCTGAAGATGAGCTTTCCCTCCATCACAGCTGATGCCACATTAAACTGAAAGGTCCTCGCCAGGCTCGAGATGAACAAAGATGGAAAAAGGACTTCCAATATCAGGTAGCCTGAGGTAAAAAGGCTTAGTCTGAATGCAAATGATGTGAATAGAATTGTGGGTTGAGATAAAGTAGGGCCCTGAGACGTAAGTGTCCTAAATTGGCCTCAGCCTTGAATCAGTCCCAGATGTGATGAAGCAAGCTTGGAGTGAGATGTGACCTTCCGTTTGGAACTCACTCAAACAGGTAAATGTCACTTCTGGTTTATCAGGATTGTCTGGTGATGCATTTCATTGGTGCGATTCAATATTATAACGTGACACATTAAAGATAAATTGAGTTCAGTTTTTTTTTTTTACTTAGTTGATATTCTTTACTGTTTATTACTTATTTATAATACTTGCTGCTCTTGTTTTTTACCGTGTACCTTGTTTGCACTATCCACTTTGCTGCTGTGATCCTGAGGGACTAATAAAAGGATTATCTTATCTTATCTTACTTATCTCCTGCCTGTCGTGTCACTTCTGGTTGCAAAAAACCCAGATGGCGATGGCCAAAACACAGACTTAAGGCTGTCCGCAAACCAATGTGGGACATCACGGTGACTACGTCCACTTCTTATAAAGGTCAATAGTTAAAACTGAGTTAAATTTGGGCAATTTTGAGATAGCTTGGTTAAATTCAGACTCTTTTTAGGGCTGAAATCTAGGCAAAGACGCTCCAGTGCATTGTAAGAAAAGCCCCAAAACAACTTCAATACTCAAAGCATCACAGTTCACCAGACAGTGTGTTAGCGATGACCATTTAACCAATAGATTATTGAATCATAACATTTTCAGGGGGTACTATCCCATATGGTGGTCATAAGGGTAAAGGGAGGCATGACAGCCTTAGGGCAACAAATGGCATAACTAGGAAACTGCTAATCAGACAATGAAACTCTCTGTTGATTAGATCTAAGATAGGGATTTCACCGAAAGGGTTTTCTGAGAAATAAGATGTTAAAGCCCTCTCTCAAAGCTTTAATTCATGTGTCACATCTGTCTGTTATTTATTATATTTGTCACAAAGGGTTGAATGCTAAAACACAGGGATGGCTTGCAGAGCTGGTACTTTGTTCAACTTTTTATTTCTGAGACACTTTTTGTGTTATATCAGTCAAATATAAATCTTGTTTGCGCACATAGTGATGTGGGGTTGGTGCGTATGTGTGTGTTTCATCCGCGAGCTTCAAGGACAGTGAATCTCCAACTTCCAGAAAAGCCCTTTCACTCAACAATATGATAGACTTTTTGTCTTCGCTCTATAATTGTCTAGTTTCCGGTTTGCCGTGTCCATAGGACTGTCAGAGACGCAGACGTGTGCTGACATCACAGTATGAGTGTACGAGTAGGTAAGTGGGCGGCCGGGATACCCCAGGCTTCTCATGCAAACCTTTGTTCTTCCCAGGCAATGAAAATGGTGCAATTAAATCCTCCCCAGCACAATGAATCTGGACAGGTTAGGTCATCTATTGTTCTTCACATCCAGTCTACATTAGCTGACTCATCCTAATCAGTGCGGCCTTCTCATGGTACAAGCAAAGATCTTGTTGAATGCTTCTGTATCACAGGAAGTGCCCTTTGAGCTATTGCATCTGAAATGACACAATCATCATTCACCAAAAAAGGTCGCTTGTCAGGAAAACACATTAAAATGTTTGGATTATATAGTTTTCTTATTATTGACAAATTCCACAGTGAGTGGATCCTACTAAGAACAAGTATTCCTTATGAATCCAAAGCCTGGGATATCTCATTCCTCTGTGTTCTGCATTACTGTCCATAAAACACATCGATGAGCCACACTGTCAAACTAGATGACGGATTTCCATTTTTAAGATGAACTCGGACATTGTTGCAAATTAACATACACACTCACTAGCGCACAAGTGTCAACTGTATCATTCCGCTGCTGAAAATAGTCCCCAACAAAAACACAATTTCCACCTGTTTGAGTAACAGTGCTAACGACTAATGACCACATGTTTAAGGAAATGATTTTACCCATTTTAAAAAGGAAGCTACTGTTTGTAATACACATTTAAGCTTGATCTCTACCAGTTCATGTTAAGCATGTAGATGTTTATTTTGTCTGGAATACTTCAATCCTCTGAATTAGCATTCCTGTCCTCGTGAACAAAGTGGTCGACTTAAATATCAATGCTTGATGTAAAAGGAAATGTGTTAGTCTGAGCTTTTGTTATTTTAATTAAAAGAGTAATTAGTATTCCCTGTGTCAGTATATGCCAACACATTTTCTGGGCATTTTACTTTCTCCATCTACAGAGGAAAACATATACTGACTGCTCTTACTGACACATTGATATCACAATTCATAAAAAAACTATCTTTTTATACATATCAATATATTTATTTATTTATTAGGAGTTCATTTCATCTATCACATGGCCCTGTTGGGTCTCAAGTTCTTGAAATGCCCATGGTTATATTTGCATAACGGGTGAAAATACAATGTTTCCACTGTCATTTGTGGTTTATTTCTCTTAATTTCTGTATTTGCTCTGGTTGCTCAAGAACTTGTTGTAGCTTTGAATAGAACAACAAATTCACAAAAACAGACATTATGATTTATTTATATTGATTTAACAGGCTATGTTCTCTATTTTGGAAATATGCCAGCTAGAGGCCACTGTACAGCAGTAAGAATCATAACAATTCTTCAGTCTCGTATTGCCTTAGATTTTCTTCTGCCAATCAAGTCTAAATTATATGACGAGCAAACCTTAGATAAGCAACCTGCAACTCCAGTAAATACCACATATCCTTCCCATCTGTCCCTGGAATGAACACCTGTTATAAGGTCCATAAAGAGGCTGGGTGTGATCGTAGTAATCACTAGATGTTGTTAGTGTATCGGCTTGTAAGGTAATACACACTGATCGATTGAAACCTTAATTTATACAAGCTCTGTTTTGAAACAAGTTGTAGTTGATGATAAAGTTTGAAGCTAAAATACAACAGACCTCTGCCCCAAAATGCTTAGGATGGGTTAAATGCAAAGGTCAAATTTTAGTGTGTGTGTGTGTGTGTGTGTGTGTGTGTGTGTGTGTGTGTGTGTG